GTGTGTGTATATATATATATGTATATACTATAGCTATATTTATATTCAACTGTCTATGTGTGTGTGTATGTATAGCCTGGGTGTGCATAATGTATACCTGTGTATATATATACACTATATATATATATGATTTACATATGTATATAGCTATATTAATATTCAACTATCTATATGTGTGTGTATATAGCCTGTGTGTGCACATTATGCACTATATATATTATTTACATATGTATATAGCGATATTCGTATTCAACTGTCTATATGTGTGTGTATGTATAGCCTGGGTGTGCATAATGTATACCTGTGTGTATATATATACTATATATATATATATATATATATATATATATATATATAAAATTTACATATGTATATAGCTATATTCAAGGTGCCCCTGGTGGCGCAGTGGGTTAAAGCACTGAGCTGCTGAGCTTGTTGACCGAAAGGTCGCAGGTTCGATTCCAGGGAGCGGCGTGAGCTTCCACTGTCAGCCCTAGCTACTGCCAACCTAGCAGTTCGAAAACATGCAAATGTGAGTAGATCAATAGGTACTGCTCTGGCGGGAAGGTAACGCCGCTCCATGCAGTCATGCTGGCCACATGACCTTGGAGGTGTCTACGGACAACGTTGGCTCTTCGGCTTAGAAATGGAGATGATCACCACAACCCAGAGTCAGACATGACTGGACTTAATGTCAGGGGACTACCTTTACCTTTTATAGCTATATTCATATCCAACTCTCTATATGTGTATGTATAGCCTGTGTGTGCATAATGTATACCTGTGTGTGTGTATACACAACATAACATATATATAACTATATTCATATTCAACTGTCCCTATATATATATATATATACATATATATGTATAGACATGAGTATTTTAATGTATGTGTGCATAATGTATATCTGTGTGTATATACACTATAATATATATATATTCTGGTCTGGATACCATGTTAATGGCAGTCTCTGAGGATGTAACACGAGCACCTGCTTGTCCAGTTTTGATGGATTCATTTCAATTGGTGAAACCCGAGGATGTGGACAAGATACTTGGAGGAATGAGGCCAACCACATGCATCCTGGACCCCTGCCCATCCTGGCTTCTAAAGGAGGCCAGAGGGGGATTGGCTGAGTGGGTTAAGGTGGTGGTTAATGCTTCCCTTCGGGAAGGCAAGATTCCAGCGAGCTTAAAACAAGCTATAATAAAACCGCTGTTGAAGAAACCATCACTGGACCCCACTAAACGCTCTGGTTACATCCCGCCTTGATTACTGCAACGCTCTCTACGTGGGGTTGCCTTTGAAGACAGTCCGGAAGCTCCAGTTAGTCCAACGGGCGGCAGCCATGATTCTAACAGGAGCGGGGTGCAGGGAGCATACAACTCCCTTGCTGAACCAGCTCCACTGGCTGCCGATATGCTACCGGGCTCAATTCAAAGTGCTGGCATTGGCCTTTAAAGCCCTAAACGGTTCTGGCCCAACTTATCTATCCGAACGTATCTCAGCCTATCAGCCCACCAGGACCCTAAGATCTTCCGGAGAGTCCCTTCTCTCTATCCCTCCAGCTTCAGAAGTGCGGCTGGCGGGAACGAGAGACAGGGCCTTCTCTGTGGTGGCCCCCCGGCTTTGGAACACCCTCCCTATAGAGGTACGATCAGCCTCTTCGCTGATGGTGTTTAGGAAGAGACTCAAAACATGGCTGTTCAAACAAGCATTCGGCTAATCTGTGACAATTCGAATATTGATGACTAAGGACAGGAAACATGGACAACGAATTCTGGATTGCGATTTCAACTCGAGATATATGGGATTATTATTGGTGGCCCAATAATTTGTTATTGAATTTGTTATTATATGTGTATATGTTTTTAAATTGTAGATTGTTTTAACTGCTGTAAACCGCAATGAGTCGCCGTTCTAGGCTGAGATATTAGCGGTATACAAGTGTATCAAATAAATAAATAAATAAACTATCGGCCAGTTTCCAATCTCCCCTTCTTGGGCAAAGTCTTGGAACGTGTGGTGGCCTCACAACTCCAGGTATTCTTGGTAGACACGGATTATCTAGACCCGGCACAGTCTGGCTTTAGGCCGGGACATGGTACCGAGACAGCCTTGGTCGCCTTAGTGGATGATCTGCGCCGGGAGCTCGACAGGGGGAGTGTGTCCCTGTTGGTGCTGCTGGACCTCTCAGCGGCCTTCGATACCGTCGACCACGGTATCCTTCTGGGACGCCTCGCGGGGATGGGTCTTGGAGGTATTGTTTTGCAGTGGCTCCGGTCATTCCTGGAGGGTCGATCTCAGAAGGTGTTGTTGGGGGACACCTGTTCAACCCCACAACCATTGTCTTGTGGGGTTCCTCAGGGCTCAATATTGTCTCCCATGTTGTTTAACATCTACATGAAGCCGCTGGGGGAGATCATCCGGAGTTTCGGGGTACGGTGTCATCTGTACGCGGATGATGTCCAACTCTGTCACTCCTTTCCACCTGCTACTAAGGAGGCTGTCCAGGTCCTGAACCGGTGCTTGGCCGCTGTGACGGTCTGGATGAGGGTGAACAAATTGAAATTGAATCCAGACAAGACAGAGGTACTCCTGGTCAGTCGCAAGGCCGAACAGGGCATAGGGTTACAGCCTGTGTTGGATGGGGCCGCACTCCCCCTGAAGACGCAGGTTCGCAGCTTGGGTGTGACCCTGGACTCATCGCTGAGCCTGGAACCCCAGGTTTCGGCGGTGACCAGGGAGCATTTGCACAGCTAAAGCTTGTGCGCCAGCTGCGCCCGTACCTTGGGAAGTCTGACTTGGCCACGGTAGTCCACGCTCTGGTTACATCCCGTTTAGACTACTGCAACGCTCTCTACGTGGGGTTGCCTTTGAAGACAGCTCGGAAGCTCCAACTAGTCCAACGCTCGGCAGCCATGATTTTAACAGGAGCGGAGCGCAGGGAGCATACAACCCCCCTGTTGCGCCAACTCCACTGGCTACCGATTTGCTACCGGGCTGAATTCAAAGTGCTATTGACCTTTAAAGCCCTAAACGGTTTCGGCCCAAGCTACCTATCTGACCGCATCTCTGCCTATGAACCCACCAGGACTTTGAGATCTTCCGGGGAGGCCCTGCTCTCGATCCCGCCAGCTTCACAAGCACGGCTGGCGGGGACGAGAGACAGGGCCTTCTCGGTGGTGGCTCCCCGGCTGTGGAACGCCCTTCCCACAGATATTAGAATAGCACCATCTCTAATGGTCTTCTGCAAAAAAGTAAAGACCTGGTTATTTGTGCAGGCGTTTGAGTAATTTAGTGCAATCTGGTAATGGAACATAGGAATGGAACAATGGACGACGAACCTGGACTACGCTTGGATGATGAGAAGATTGGGTACGGTTGTTTTTTGTAATAATTGTGCATTGTAATTGCTTATTGGTAATTTATGGATAATGTGTTAAGTCAATTGTTATATGTTGTATGGAACCACTGCTGTTTCTACTGTTTTTACTGTTTGTGAACCGCCGTGAGTCGCCTTCAGGCTTGAGATACAGCGGTATATAAGCAAAGTAAATAAATAAATAAATAAATATATTATATATTAATATATTAATATATTAATATTTACAGCCATATATATATAAAACGATATTCCTATTCAACTGTCTATATATATATATATATATATATACATATACAGATATCTACATTCACCCACAGTGAATGGTCCCTCAACGTCTGAGGCCTAGGCCCCTCTCAAGCCAGCCTTTGCCGGCCTGCCTTCCCTTTCCGTGGAGGTCGGGGCTGCCCCCGCTCACCAGTAGAAGGTGACCCCGCATCCCCCGCAGCGGACGTGGGCGGGCCCGAGGCAGAGCTCGCAGAAGAGCCGCCGCCCGCGGGGCAAAGACAACGGCTGCAGCCGCTCCGTCCGCATCCCCCTCGGTTGCTAAGGGCGCCGTTGCCAGGCAGGGGACAGGCCTTCCGCCTTCAGACTGGCCCTGGAGCAGCTGCATTGGCTCACCAAGGCGTCAATCAACATCCCGCAGCGAAACGCTGCCAATAGGCGCTGGAATAGGAGTTTGAGGCGGGACTTCCGGGCTGGGAAGACTACAAAGCTATCGAGAGCACGAAGGGGCGGGGCTTTAGTCGAGGATTGACAGGTTTCGAGGCGGGACTTCCGGGAAGGAGACGCCAACGCTGAGGAACACGAAGGGGCGGGGCTTTAGTCCAGGATTGACAGTTTTCGAGGCGGGACTTCCGCGAAAGAGACTCCAAAGCTGAGGAACATGAAGGGGCGGGGCTTTCACAGAAGTTTGACAGTTTTCGAGGCGGGACTTCCGCGAAAGAGACTCCAAAGCTGAGGAACACGAATGGGCGGGGCTTTCGTTGAAGATTGACAGGTTTGGAGGCGGGACTTCTGGGAAGGAGACGCCAGCCCTGTATAAGCGGCTTGGGGAACACGAAGGGGCGTGGTTTAGGTCGAGGATTGACAGGTTTCGAGGCGGGACTTCCGGAAGGACACTCCAACGCTGAGGAACACGAAGAGGCGGGGCTTAACTCGAGGATTGACAGGTTTCGAGGCGGGACTTCCGGGAAGGAGACGCCAGCCCTGTATAAGCGGCTTGGGGAACACGAAGGGGCGTGGTTTACGTCGAGGATTGACAGGTTTCGAGGCGGGACTTCCGGGAAGGACACTCCCAAGCTGAGGAACACGAAGGGGCGGGGCTTTAGTTGAAGATTGACAGGTTCGAGGCGGGACTTCCGGGAAAAGACTCCAATCTGTATAGCTGCTTGAGGAGAGCGAAGGGGCGGGGCTTTCGCCGATGATTGACAGTTTTCGAGGCGGGTCAATCATCGAGCCGCCTCGAAAACTAGAGCACGAAGGGACGGGGCTTCCGACGAAGAATGAGTGACAGGTGAGAGGCGGGACTTCCGGGGCGGGGAAATCCCAAAGTAATATAGTAGGCGGGACTTCCAGCGAGGTCTGATTGACAGCTTTGGGGGCGGGGTTTCGGCTTGAGGAGCCAATAGGCTGTGACTGACAGGCTGCTGAGCCTACCAGGAGGCGCTTTGCCTAGCGCGAGGTGGCGGAGGAGAAGCCCCGGATGTGTAAACACGGAAGCGGGTCAGCAATGGCGGCGGCGGAGGCGTCTGAGGCGGCGGAGGCGCGGGTGCGGGAGTGGGCGCGCGGGCAGCGCTCTCGGGGCCGGGAGCGGGTGGTGCTGGTGACGTCAGGCGGGACGCAGGTTCCGCTGGAGGCGCGCCCGGTCCGCTTCCTGGAGAACTTCAGCAGCGGGCGGCGCGGGGCGGCCTCGGCGGAGCGCTTCCTGGCCGCCGGCTACGGCGTGTGCTTCCTCCACCGCGCCCGCTCCGCCTTCCCCTTCGCCCGCCGACTGCCCCCGCCCGGGCCCGCCCTCCTCGACGCCCTCCGCCTCCGGGAAGGAGGAGAAGAAGGGGGAGAAGGAGGCGTGGAGGTGGCGCCGGGCGCGCTCCCGGGGCTGGGCCCCGCCCTGCAGGCCTACCGCCGGGCCCGCGACGGGGGCGCGCTCCTCGCCCTCGAGTTCACCGCCCTCGACGAGTACCTCGCCCTCCTCCGCGCCGCCGCCAAGGCCCTCGCCCCCCTCGGTGAGCAGGCAGAGAGAGAGAGGCCTAGAGCTGGAAGGGACCCTCCAGGACATCCAGCCCATCCTAGAAGACATAGACAGACAGACAGACAGAACCCTGGAGTTGGAAGGCATCCTCAAGGCCATCTAGTCCAACCCTAAAGGGACAGACAGATAGATAGATAGACAGATAGATAGACAGACAGACAGAACCCTGGAGTTGGAAGGGACCCTCAAGGCCATCTAGTCCAACCCTTAAGGGACAGACAGATGGATAGATAGATAGACAGACAGAACCCTAGAGGTGGAAGGGACCCTCAAGGCAATCCAGTCCACCCTAGAAGACATAGATAGAAGGATAGGTAGACAGACAGACAGACAGACAGATAGATAGATAGACAGAACCCTAGAGGTGGAAGGGACCCTCCAGGACATCCAGTCCAACCCTTAAGGGACAGATAGATGGATAGACAGACAGAACCCTGGAGTTGGAAGGGACCCTCAAGGCAATCCAGGCCACCCTAGAAGACATAGATAGAAGGATAGGTAGATAGACAGACAGACAGACAGACAGACAGACAGACAGATAGACAGAACCCTAGAGGTGGAAGGGACCCTCCAGGCCATCCAGCCCATCCTAGAAGACATAGATAGAAGAATAGGTAGAAGGGACCCTCCAGGACATCCAGTCCAACCCTTAAGGGACAGATAGATAGATGGATGAATAGACAGACAGAACCCTGGAGTTGGAAGGGACCCTCAAGGCCATCCAGCCCATCCTAGAAGACATAGATAGAAGGATAGATAGACAGACAGACAGAACCCTGGAATTGGAAAGGAACCTCCAGGCCACCCAGTCCATCCTATATGACATAGATAGAAGGATAGATAGACAGACAGACAGAACCCTGGAGTTGGAAGGGACCCTCAAGGCCATCCCAGCCATCCTAGAAGACATAGATAGGATAGATAGACAGAACCCTGGAGTTGGAAGGGACCCTAAAGGCCATCTAGTCCAACCTTTAAGGGACAGACAGACAGATAGACAGAACCCTGGAGATAGATAGATAGATAGGAATATGGATGGATGGATGGATGGATGGATGGATAGATAGATAGATAGAGAGGAAGATGGATGGAGAGAGAGATAGACAGATAGGTGGATGGATGGATAGATAGATAGATAGATAGGAATATGGATGGATGGATGGATGGATGGATGGAGAGAGAGAGATAGGAAGATGGATGGATGGATGGATAGATAGATAAGTAGGTAGGTAGGTAGGTAGGTGGGAAGATGGATGGATGGATAGATAAGTAGCTAGGTAGGTAGGTAGGTACATACGTGGGAAGATGGATGGATAGATGGATGGAGAGATAGATAAGTAGCTAGGTAGGTATGTAGGTAGGTAGGTAGGTGGGAAGATGGATGGATGGATGAAGAGATAAGTAGGTAGGTAGGTGGGAAGATGGATGGATGGATGGAGAGATAGATAAGTAGCTAGGTAGATAGGTAGGTACATGGGAAGATGGATGGATGGATAGATAGATAAGTAGCTAGCTAGGTAGGTAGGTACATGGGAAGATGGATGGATAGATAGATAAGTAGGTAGGTAGGTAGGTACATGGGAAGATGGATGGATGAATGGAGAGATAGATAAGTAGCTAGGTAGGTAGGTAGGTACGTGGGAAGATGGATAGATAGATAGGTAGGTAGGTAGGTAGGTAGGTAGGTAGGTAGGTAGGTGGGAAGATGGATGGATGGATGGAGAGATAAGTAGGTAGGTTGGTGGGAAGATGGATGGATGGAGAGATAAGTAGGTAGGTGGGTAGGTGGGAAGATGGATGGATGGATAGATAGATAAGTAGGTAGGTAGGCAGGTAGGTGGGAAGATGGATGGATGGATGGATGGATGGATGGAGAGATAGACAGACAACCGGAAGATGGATGGAGAGATAGACAGACACACAGACAGACAGGAAGATGGATGGATAGATAGACCGATAGGAAGATGGATGGATGGATGGATGGATGGATGGATGGATGGATGGATGGATGGATAGATAGATAGATAGATAGATAGATAGATAGATAGATAGATAGATAGACGGATGATGTGCAGTATGGTGTTTGAGGAGGACATTGGCAGGGGTTGATCTACATGTTCATGGCGCTCACTATAACTTGCAATGTCGTTGACGGGAGGGCCTTTGGTGGAACCTGTAGCTTTTCTGTGTAAGTGGACACTCCAGACACATACAAACATACATCTTTTCACTTTGCACTTTTATTATGTCTATAGAGACCCCCCCAAGGGCCATCCACACCAACCCTCTTCTTTCTGCCAGGCATCCAAACCCATCCACACCACTTACTTTGTGTCCCTCACTTTCTCCACAAGGTTCAAGTGCCATGTTCTACCTGGCGGCGGCCGTGTCTGATTTCTACATCCCTCCGTCTGAAATGCCAGAACATAAGATCCAGTCGGCTGATGGGCCTCTCCAGGTAAGGCTTAGCGAGTCATCCAGTTAGATGAAAAAACTGATAAACTGATAGATTCCTAGGGAAGGGGCCCCAAGGGTCATGCAGTCAATCCTATAAGAGATAGATAGATAATCAGATAGATAGATAGACTTGGCCACCGGCTGCGACCGTACCTTGGGAAGTCTGACAGTTCTGGCCCAACTTACCTATCTGAACATATCTCTCCTTATGAACCATCTAGAACATTAAGATCTTCTGGTGAGGCCCTTCTCTCGCTCCTGCCTTCTTCACAGATGCTTCTGACGGGGACGAGAGACAGGGCCTTTTCAGCGGTGGTCCCTCGACTGTGGAACACCCTGCCTAGAGATATAACATTGGCTCCCTCCCTCCTGAAAGGTGAAAACTTGGCTTTTTGAGCAGGCCTTCCCAAATATGGCATGGTTATATGAAATCATGGAACTACTTGCTGACACAATTGAATAATGACTTGACATGGAGATGGTCACGGCAATGTTTTATTTATCCATCCATTAATCCATCCATCTATCTGTCCATCTATCTATCTATCCATCCATCTATCCATTTATCCATCCATGCATGCATCCATCCACCTGTCCATCCACCCGTCCATCCATCCATCCATCTGTCCATCCATCTATCCGTCCGTCCATCCACCCGTCCGTCCATCCATCCATCCATCTGCCCATCCATCCATCTGTCCGTCCGTCCGTCCATCTGTCCATCCATCCATTTATCCGTCCGTCCATCCACCCGTCCGTCCATCCATCCATCCATCTGTCCATCCATCCATCTATCCGTCCATCCACCCACCCATCCATCCATCCATGCATGCATCTGTCCATGGATGGATGGAGAGATAGATAGACAACAGGAAGATGGATGGAGACAAAGACAGACACACAGACAGGAATGCATCCATCCATCCATCCATCTATCTGTCCATCCATCCATTTATCTATCCACCAATCTATCCATCCATCCATCTATCTGTCCATCCATCCATCCATGTATCTATCCATCCATCCATGCATGCATGCATCAATCCATCCATCCATCTATTTATTTATTAATGCGCTTGTATACCGCTAATATCTCAGCCTAAATCGGCGACTCATTGCGGTTTACAACAGTTAAAAAACAATATTCAATTTAAAAGCATAAAACACATATACAATACAAATTATTGGGCCACCAATAACAATCCCATGCATCTCGTAACTGAAATCGCAATCCAAAATTCGTCGTCCATGATTACCCATCCTTTAGTCATCAAAATTCGTTGCAACGGATTAACCGAATGCTTGTTTAAACATCCATGTCTTCAATCTTTTCCGAAACACCATCAGCGAAGGGGCTGATCGTACCTCTATGGGGAGGGTGTTCCAAAGCCGAGGGGCCACCACAGAAAAGGCCCTGTCTCTCGTTCCCACCAGCCGCACTTGTGAAGCCGGCGGGATAGAGAGCAGGGAAGATGGATGGAGACAAAGACAGACACACAGACAGGAAGATGGATGGATAGCTAGATCTTGGGGTTTTTTTTGGAGTCAGGCTTTCGGCTAGTGGACTTAGCAGCACTTAGACACTGACCATAGGATGATGACAATAGGAAACGGATATGTGATTTTGATTAGGAAACTATGTTAGTATATGAGTATGTGATTTTAATTAATGTTGTTGTTAAATTTTATGTATTTGATTTTATGTTGTTGTATTGACATTATGGCATTTAATTGTTGCCCATGTAAGCTGCCCTGAGTCCCCCCTCAGGGGTGAGAAGGGCGGGGTAGAAGCGATGTAAATAAATGGAGAGACAGACAGACAGACACAGAGACAGGAAGATGGATGGATAGCTAGACCGATAGGAAGATGGATGGAGGGAGGGAGGGAGGGAGAGAGAGAGAGAGAGAGATGGAAAGAGAGATAAACAGATAGATAGGAGGATGGATGGATGGATGGATAGATAGATAGGAAGATGGATGGAGAGAGAGAAATAGGTAGACAGATAGATAGGAAGATAGATGGATGGATGGATAGATAGATAGGTAAGTAGGTAGGAAGATGGATGGATGGATGGATGGATGGATAGATAGATAGACGGAGAGATCGATGGAGAGATAGTTATACAGACAGATAGAAAGATGGATGGATAGAGATAGACAGATAGGAAAATGGATGGGTAGATGGATGGATGGCTGGCTAGATGGATAGGAAGATAGATGGATGGATAGATAGATAGTTGGTATTCTAGAGTTTGAAGAGACCCCAGGGACCATCCAGTCCAACCCCCTTCTTTTTGCCAGGCAGGAAAACACAATCCAAGCTCAGCAGAGAAGGAGCCCATTGGACTTTCCCCAAGACGTTGTCCTTCCTGACGTTGTCCTCCCTTGTGTTTCCTGCAGATCACCATGCGGATGGTGCCCAAGATGCTGGCCCCGCTGGTGAAGGACTGGGCTCCGGAGGCCTTTGTCATCTCCTTCAAGCTGGAGACGGACCCCTCGCTGCTGATCGGCAAGGCCCGCCAGGCCCTCGAGACCTACCGGCACCAGGCGGTGGTGGCCAACCTGCTGGACTCCCGCCGGACGGTTGTGACAGTGGTCACCCGGGAGAGCGAGGCCCGGCTGGTCCTCTCTGAGGAGGAGTCCGCCCAAGGCCTGGAGATCGAGGACAAGATCGTGGGGCACCTGGAGGCCCGGCACCGGGCTTTCATGGCGCAGTGACCCTTTCCAAACTGGGAATCCTCCACACTAGATTCAGGAACGGTTTCCTTTGCGGTTTGGGCATCATCGGAGTTGCCTTACCTTACTGTACTGCGACACAACTTGACCATTATTATTTGCACCATTTCTGCTGCTCTGGGGGGAAGAAAACTGTACAAGAACATTCCAAGGATTGTCGTTTCTCTCGTTGCTTGGTTTTGGTTTCCTTTCAGCAATAACTGTCCCTTGTTTCCCAAAAATCACAGTCTGAGGATGAAAATAATTATAATTATAATAAAAAAAATTATTCGGTTGTAAGCATTCAGTTTCCCAAAATCACAGTGTGATGATTTAAATAATAATAATACTAATAGTACAAAAATATTTGGTGATAACAACCCCCTGTTTCCTCAATATTGCAGTCTGATGATGAAAATATTATTATTATTATTATTATTATTTGGTTATAACTTTCCCCTTTCCCCCCAAAATCACACTCATGATGGAAATATTATTATTATTATTATTATTATTATTATTATTATTATTTGGTTATAACTTTCCCCCTTTCCCCCCAAAATCACAGTCTGATG